TATACCTTAAATTTCGATTACATTTTTCCCCACCCTTGGCAACTTCAAGCTGTGTGGACTTAACCCCCCAAAATCCCCCGGCCAGCCATACTGGCTGGAGAATTCTGGGAGTTGAAGTCCACACAGCTTGAAGTTGCCAAGGTTGAGAAACACTGGTCAAATGACAGAAGAGCACTGAAGTGTTCAATTCCTCCCACCTCCATTTTAAAGAGGTCATAGAATCAGCTAGAAAGGTCATTTCTTCATCTAGAAAAGACTGTAGAGTCCATCTGGCTCTAACCCCCAGCCAGGGCAGGAATCCAAAATACCATCCTTGACCGATGGCCATCCAGCTTCTGCTCGTCTCCAGCAGAGATTACCACCTTCTGTTCCCTTGTTGGATGGCTTTTACTGTTAGGAAACCATTCCAATAACTCCAACCAAGAGTTGGTGGAGGATTGGTTTTACATGCAAGGAGAAATGTTGATCTCTTGGCAAGAGATCCTGCAAGAAGGGGCTAGAGAACAACAGTAGGTAGATTACCTAACAGTAAACCTCACAGATCATTGCAGCTGCATTTGTACAACATATAAAGTAACCCGGTTGGCAAAGTTTGCAAAATGCATTGAGTCAGAGCCAATGGGGGAAGAGGGGAAGATGCTATGATTGCAGTTCGACCTGGGCCTCAAACTCAAATGGAGGCACTTGGGTGGTATTTTTAAAAATTAAAAAAAATTCAGATCATGTCTCGCTCAAAAGTGGAACGTGTGCCAAGCCTGCCTTTCTTCTCCACCTCCATCTCCCTGTCCCCCAGGGTCTGCTCCGACTATAATCTAAACACACTGGCTACACTCAAGAGACTGAATTGCAAACTAGCCCACCAACTTTTAGCTTTGCGGTTATGGAATCCTAGCCAATAGCATTTACTTCTGAGCCAACAAACATATGGGGTAAGGTTATCCTGGTATAAGCCCTGGGTATCAATCTAATCCTGAGCAAGTGTGCAAGGAAATAAATCACTTGGTGAATAGGTGGCCATATACATTGATCAAATCCATCAATCCAAGGGACTGCAAATAGAAGTCATCAAATAAAGTGCATAAGAATTCTGTCTTTCAAGTCTGCAAAGTTTATGAAAATGCAATAAGGTCTGATCTACCACCAGAGGCAAGCTGAGTGTCAGAGGCCCAAAAGGGATCCTGCTCTTTAAGAGCTACATGAACAAAGAAATTGTAGCTGATTTTGGCCCTGCAATAGCGGGGTTGTTAAAATGTATCTGGTTAAGTGCTTTCTTTGTGAAACTTACAATAATTATTTCCCAAGCTAAATAAAATATCCTGCACTCTGCAGGGCTGGCATCTAATGTTTTTTTAAAGTTCTATTTTACATCCATGTTTCTCTTCCAGTGATTGGTGGGGTCTGGGGGTCCCAACTTTTGGGGGACCAAGGGCTACCATACCCAGAGCCTTTGGCAGGCAGGTTCTATACTACCAAAAGCAGTAGGTGGAGTGGGAAAATTGGCATTTAAGCAAGAATTAAATATAATTAACATTATTACTCTCCAGATATGTTGTTGTTGTTATGATTTAAATTATTATTAAATTTATTTATTTCATCTTGTTCCCTTCCTGTTATGTTCATCTTTACAGCTTAGGAACCAACTTCAGCTGTGTTCCACATTTTTGAGAACCCACCAGAAGTTTAAGGATTGTGTGGTGCTAAGAGGCAAAGTTAGGTCTCATCCTCTCTTTGTTCTCGCAATAACCCCGTGCAATAGGTTGCCAGCGGTTCAGGGGGAAAATACCTGGCCTGACTCACTTCTGTCAACAGTGGCTGCCAATGTAGAAATCAGCAGGTGACAAGAGTTCAAGGTAAAAAAAAATAAAGCAATACAACTGCATGATGTCTGCAAATCAAGCCATGGCCAACAGCATAAAGGTACATGCTTCTTCAAGTTGAGCTTGTGATGACTCCAAGGACGCACCCAGGCAGTTTATTTGACAACAATATGGAAGCAGCTTGCCATTCCCTTCTTCCTGGGTGTTATTTTGATTTCCCAGTTTACATTACAGCCTAGGTATTTCCTGTTTGTCTCCCATCTAAGCCCTAATCATACCACCTCGGTTGAGGTTGAGCTTGAATAGCTGATGAAGATCAGGACATTCTCCCATCCCCCCTTCCCATCTTCACAACTGCTTTTAGGGAAAAAGAAACCAATCCAGGAGATGCCAAACACATTGTGCTTTTAAACCCACCGTGGTAGCAATAGCTGAATTAATAAAGGATTTGGGGTGAAGAGTGTCCTGCTCAAATCCATCCATGGGACCTGTGGTTTGTCAAGAGGCACCGCAGTAAGATGGAAGCAGCTCAGTGGAGTCTTCTCATGCAAGCTTACCAGCCTATTCTCCCAGATCCGTACTTGACTTGTCATTCCCTGCTGCAGCATTTCCAAGAAATTCTGGGCTCGGAGCAATCCTGCACGGATTCTGCATCTCAGGACCAGCTTTGGACTGCAGGCCGCCTGAGTGAAGCAGCCAGATTTCGAGAATTCCTTGCTTTTTCTCTGCTCCGTAGTCTTGCTCGATGAAACAATCTGGAAAATTCAGATATCTGCATCTCTTTTGCCTTGTTTTGGTTAACCCTAACAAAAGCATCACCCAGTAATGGATTTTAGATGTGGTTTCCTCTATGGGCCAAGAGTTGCTTTTGACATTCCACTGTATCTGACCAAACTTCCCGTCAACTTCTTTGCTCTGCTGTCACTGTACCCAGCTCCCTGGGGCCATTCCAGCAAAATTTCTTGGATGGAGTGTTGCAACAAGCAGGGGCTGTCTCTGTCGATGTTGCAATGCTAAAGGATTGGGCAGCCCCCAATCCCGGATAATTTTGCACGTCAACTCCCCCGTGATGCACTTTGGAGCAAAAGGAGCAGAAGAAAATGAAAGGATTGATAAACAAAGGAAACATCTGATTTCAGATTCATTCTCTGGGGCTTGTTTGCAGGAATGGAACTGGCATCGTTCTTTGGCCCTTAGAGCAAGAACGTCTCTCTCTCCTCCCCACTTGGGTCTCCACTCACTGAACTGAGATTTCCTGTCAGCTCATCGGTCTGTGGTCATTTTTTTCTCCTGTCCCTTGCAGGTCCTCCCCTCGTTTTGCAATGAGACGGTGACATGGCACTGTTGCAATAGCATCAGTGAGGGAAGACTGGTTTTGACATGGCTGTAGCTGAACATCAGCACCTGCAACTGAAACAAGAAATCACTTCCTTGCTTCACTGTTTGGTTTTTCATCCTGGCTTTCTGGCTTTGGTTCTACACAATTCCCTTCTTAGTTCCTCAGGGCAGGGACCCAGCCTCTCGTATCCAATAAAGCAGGGTTCCTCAGCCTTGACAACTTGAAGATGTGTGGGGTTCTGGGAGGTGGAATCCACACATCTTCAAGTT